TTTAAAATATAGAAAAATAGTAATAAACAACATTTTATATCATTTGTGTGTGAAAACAACAATTATAAACAATATAAGGACAGCAGTGTTTGTGTAGTTATTGTGTAGAAAATAAAGAAAAAACTTATAAAATAGTGCTAATATTGGTCTCACAGGCCATAAAAGTTACCTGTAAAAAAAAAAATTAAAAAATTATAGAAAATAGTACCTAATTGAGGTTCAGACATGTATGCGTGGAGCCCCAGACCGACATAATGAGACTAGTCACGAGGGAGCATTCACCAAATTCAACTTCAATAACAAAACATAAAGTGGGACCAAGTAAACCAAGTCCTAACCGATATAAGCTGGGAAGATATACTAAGCAACACAGACCCAACTTATCCCTAAAAACAGATTAACTCGGTGGCACTCGATGTATGCAAAAGGCTTATTCCTCTAAGAAAAAGGAGGAGTAGATGTAAAATAAAAGAGACAGGCGCTCCCTTTACAGGCGACGGAAAAGAAAAACAGAGCGGCTAAAAGAGGTCAATATATCTGAAATGGTAGGGAAAACACTGGTCAGAGAAATAGCAAGCATCGAACTTAAGCTAAAAGAATCCTTTAGGAGTCAGGAATCGCGGGAAGAACTAAAAGCCATAATTGAAATCGAAAGAAACCCAAAGTATTTCTTCTCCTATGCAAATCAAAATCGAGAACAACGTCCAGTATTGGGCCCCTACTTAAACAAGATGGGTCTCACAGATGATAGCAAGGAAATGAGTGAGCTACTCAAGTCCCAATATGACTCAGTTTTTAGCAAGCCGCTAACCAGACTGAGAGTCGAAGATCAAAATGAATTTTTTATGAGAGAGCCACAAAATTTGATTAACACAAGCCTATCCGATGTTATCCTGATGCCAAATGACTTCAAACAGGCGATAAATGACAGGGCCCATGCACTGTGCCCCAGGGCCAGACTCATGGAACTTGTGTTCATCAGAACTACAAGAAGCCCTATCACGACCCTTTTTTCCATCCTATGGAGAGGGAGCATGGACACGGGGGTCGTCCCACAGTTACTAAAAAAAAACAGACATAGCCCCACTCCACAAAGGGGGCAGTAAAGCAACAGCAAAGAACTACAGACCAATAGCACTAACTTCCCATATCATAAAAATCTTTGAAAGGGCCCAAAGAAGCAAGATCACCACCCCATCTAGAAACCCATCAGTTACACAACCCAGGGCAACATGGGTTTAGAACAGGTCGCTCCTGTCTGTCTCAACTTTTGGGAAATCACTAGACAAGGTCCTAAATGCACTAGAAGACAAAAAGAATGCAGTTGAAATTTATATACAGACTTTGCAAAAGCCTTCGCCCAAGTGTGACCATGGCGTAATAGCGCACAAAATGCGTGCTAAAGGAATAACAGGAAAAGTCGGTCGATGGATCTATAATTTCCTCACTAACCAGAACACAAGAGAGTAGTCGTCAACAGAGTAAAGTCCGAGGCAGCTACGGGGGAAAAGCTCTGTTCCACAAGGCACATACTCGCTCCCATCTTGTTCCTCATCCTCATATGTTACATAGACAAGGATGTCAGCCACAGCACCGTGTCTTCCTTTGCAGATGACACCCCAATCTGCATGACAGTGTCTTCCATTGCAGACACTGCAAGGCTCCCCGGCGGACATCAACCAAAACTTTCAGTGGGCTGCAGAAACAATATGAAGTTCAACGATGAGAAATTTCAATTACTCAGATATGGTAAACATGAGGAAATTAAAAACTTCATCGAGTACAAAACAAATTCTGGCCACAAAATAGAGTTAAATACCAACGTCAAAGACCTGGGAGTGATTATGTCGGAGGATCTCACCTTCAAGGACCATAACATTGTATTTAATCGCATCTGCTAGAAAAATGACAGGATGGATAATGAGAACCTTCAAAACTAGGGAGGCCAAACCCATGATGACACCTTCAGGTCACTTGTTCTATCTAGGCTGGAATATTGCTGCACACTAACAGCACCTTTCAAGGCAGGTTGAAATTGCCGACCTAGAAATGTACGAGAACTTTCCCCGGCGCGCATAAGGAGATAAAACACCTCAATTACTGGGAGTGCTTGAAAGGGTTCCTAAACCTGTATTCCCTGGAACGAGGAGGGAGAGATACATGATTTTTATACACCTGGAAAATCTAGAGGGACTAGTCTGAACTTGCACATGAAAACACTCATACGAAAGCAAAAGGGCTTGGCAGACGATGCACCATCCCCCCCAAAGAAAAGCAGGGGTGTCACTAGCACGTTAAGAGACCATACAATAAGTGTCAGGGGCCCGAGACTGTTCAACTGCCTCCCAGCACAATAAGGGGGATTACCAACAGACCCCTGGCAGTCTTCAAGCTGGCACTGGGACAAGCACCTAAAGTCAGTTCCTGATCAGCCGGGCTGTGGCTCGTAAAGTTGGTTTGCGTGCAGCCAGCAGCAACAGCCTGGTTGATCAGGCTCTGATCCACCAGGAGGCCTGGTCACAGACCGGGCCGCGGGGGCGTTGACCCCCAGAACTCTCTCCAGGTAAACTCCAGGTAAAGAACCAAAAAAAAAAATACCGGGTGATGGCAGTCAGCGATGTTACCATATTTGGGGCATTTTCTTCAAGTTCACGCCTCCAATCTCGGTAAGTATTGATGGTAAAAAAATTTTGTTTAGCCTATAATGTTTAGAAAAAAAACTATCTTTTCATAAACAAAAATAATTTTTTTTTTTTTTGAAATTTGGGGGACCCTGAGAACAAGTCTCTGAAAGGGCCTGGGGACCCAGAAAGGGTTAACAGTGTAGCAAATAGGTTAAGCGATTAAGCGATGAAAAAAAACATGACATGAAACTCACTCCTCCATTGTTGTTTGAGGTATATAGGGTACTGGCAAACATATGCTGCCCTGCCTATCTTCCACCACCCTAAACCAATGCCAGCATCTCCGAAGTACAGTAAGTGTAAACATTTCTTATTTATAAATTTTAAAATGTAAAAATTTTTTTATTTATAAATTAAAGTGTAAATATTTCTTATTTTTTTCATATATTTATTTATTTATTTATTTTGTCTTTGCAAACAGTACATTGAGATTTTGTATTTACAATAGTGGGTTGCAATGCAAAGAGAACCTCTATTATGCCTAGGCATTATGGGTCGACTTAACATTATTGGCTTACAGTCTACTTAATACTAAGGAATATATCATAGTTGTATAGTAGGATATTAATTATTTCATAGTTGTACAGTAGAATATTAATTATAAATTAATCAAAATTTCTATAATACAAAGATTTATTTATATTCAAAAACACTTTTTGTGAAAACAATGATTCAGTTATATTCCTGTCAACAATGGATAAAAGGTTCAATGTGATTGTTTCAGCTATGATGTGGGAGTACATAGGTGAGTAAGTGTGTACTGAGTATTTAGCATTTAGTCTAGGGTGATTAAGTGGCTTTTGAGAAGAGTCTTAAATTGATTTTCAGACTGGGTTACTTTAATATCTTCTGGTAATGAATTCCATATTTTGGGGCCTTTTATGTGCATAGAGTTTTTACACAGTGTGATATGGACACGAGGTATATCTTGTGTTGTGGTCATGTGTCCTGTTTAGGTTGGTGAGGAGAAGTTTGAGTGGGGGGTTTATATTTGCATGTATTGTTCTGTGTATGTAGTAGGCACATGAATAAGTATGGATGAATAAGTATGGCACATGGATAAGTATGTAGTAGGCACATGAATAAGTATGGTGAGCAGATTCAGGGTTTTGAAAATTGGTGGAGAATGCTGGTGGGAGTGGGAATTTGTTATCATTCTTACTGCTGCCTTTTGCTGGGTTATTAGGGGTTTTAGGTGATTGGATGTTGATCCCCATGCACAGATTCCATATGTAAGATAAGGGTATATGAGTAAATGGTACAGTGCCAGGAGAGCTGACTGTGGAACGTAGTACCTTATCTTTGACAGTATGCCTACAGTCTTGGAGATTTTCTTGGTGATTTGTTGTATGTGTGTCCGGAACTCAAGGCTACTGTCAAGGTGGATACCTATGAATTTTCCCTCTGTGAGTCTTGTGACTGATGATCCATTATAAATTGCATACAATGTGTGAATAGTGTTGGTGGCTTCTGCTGCCACCTACACTACCACTAATATGTACGGCTTCTCTCAGTGGCCCTTAAAATCCAACAACATCACCACCACTTACTCCTCACATACATAATGACATATTTTATTAATTCTAGAGTATATACTGTATCATGTTTCTGTGTTATTAATATTGTTTATTATGTCATATTAGATGAATTGTGATAGATAAATAAACCGTGGAATATAGTTCTTCTCTATAAAATGTATTTTTTGTTTATACTTTTGGATATCTCAAACAGATTTATTAGATTTACATTATTTCTTATGGGGAAAAATAGTTTCAATTTTAGTCGATTTCACATTTTGTTGGACACTCTGGGGCGAATTAAAGATGAAAAGGGAGGGTCCTCTGTACTAGGATTAGTCTGTTCGAAATACCCCAGCATGATAGTGGCTTTCCTTGTACTTATTTAACCAAAATTGTAATTAGACTTTATAACCTTTACAAGGAAATAAAATCTTTATGCTACCACTACAACAAACATGCTACCACCATGTTATCACTGCCTTTTCTGTGATAGGTCCTACTGTTACTGCAAATAACAGTCTACAGAATTCCCAATACCAGTTTGGAGCATTGTCAAAATTTGAAGGACCACTGTAAGTTTCAGTTTTTGTTAGCATTCTGTTAATACAGAGTTGTACAATGGTAGTGTCTATCTTTACCTGTACTGTATAGCAGATGATTGAGTCTCTTGTGGTTCCTCTCTCTCCCCTTGTTACTTTCACTATACTTCTGGGAGATTTTATTTTGTAGATAAGATTTATGGTGTGAAAAACAATTGATTTTTGTCTACTGTATATCTTATGTATGTTTCAGGAGCACAATGCCACGAAAATGTGTTTTATGTGGGGCCTCGCACAGCATCACCCTCTCAGTGTTTGCATTTCCCAAATCAAGCCGTCAACGAGCTGCCTGGGTGACTGCCATTCAACAGATTATTCCTACATTTTGTGACCCGCAGGTGGGTAAGATGAAGCAGTTAAGATTGTTGATGTTGTTCAGCATTCATTGTGCCTAGCCAGTACAGTACAGGGTGTTTTGCAACCATTTTCTTCATGAGTTATTACATACCTGCAATATCTGCTGCTGGCTGTACAATCCAGTTAAATTCCTCAGGTCAAGCCCTGCTGATCTTATTGTTTTCCCCTCTGTATTTTTATCAGGTTCTCATTTTGAGCCATTTATTTTTTACTAGTGTTTAGGTACAGTACAGTACTGCAGTATATTTATTTGCATACAGAGTAACCAAAAGCAGTTTTTTTTCCCCAGACTGATGGTCATTTGGCTAGTGCTCGTAGTGGAGTATGTGTGAGGCATTTCCACCCTGAATATGTAAAAAAGGGCAAGAAGTCGAGCCTTAACCGAAAAGCTGTTCCACTTGTAGTGGCTGACCTCAGCATCAATGGAAATTTTACTCATGCAAAAAATAACCTTGCAGCATCCTTCTTGGTACATGAAAGTAGCAAAACAAGAGAAAGTTTCTTGATTGATGATGATGAAACCCTTAGAGGTCCTCCTGAGGTGGCTTCTGAGAGCAAGAAAGGAAACAACTGGCATGAAGACCAACTGAAAGCTGAAAATTGCTTGAGTATAAATATTGATGATTATCTACCAAATGAAGATTCTTATGTGGAGTCAAGCAAGGCCATCACTGATCATGGATTTGCCTTTAGCAGTAAGGAAATATCAGAAAAATATATTTGTCTTGTTTGTGGAAAACATGACAAAAATTATAGTTTAATATGTATTTTCAATGTCCATGATTTTCCTGGTAACATTACTGTGAGTTTGTTGTCAAAAATTGTTGGTAGGTCAAAGCAAGAGGTTCTTTGTGTTAGTATGAAAATTTGCTCCATGTGTGAGAATCTTCTCCAAGAGGTTGCACAAATTGAAGAAGATTTAAAACTGAAGAAGCAGACAATAAGACAAATGTTTGAGACTACTCTGGAAGAGCACAAAGGGAAGTCAGATGTGGTAGTAATGGCTTCCAAACCTTTGGATGTTTATCCAGAGGAAATACAATGTAACAGAAGTTTAATATCGGATTCAGGTTCTGTTGAGAATATGGGCGATAAAAGTGACAGTGGTACAAGTGAGCAGCTGTCAGACAAGGTGAGAAAAAGTTCCCGAAGGCTAGCATCAGCAAAGAAATACCGTTGTCCTCAGTGTAAGGAAGTTTATTCCAGTCTTGCATTATGGGTTCATCATTTATCAAAACATTCAGATATGGAAGATTTACCATTGCAAAATAAAGGCAAACAAATGCCTTCAAGAATGAAGAAGAAACATAAAATGGGTATCCATACTTGTGAGGAATGTGGTAAGACATTCTTTTGTAAGCAGACCCTTGTGGCCCATGCTGCTGCACATCAGAAAGGTTCTGAGTGTTCTGTATGCGGAAGGTATCTAACCACTAAAGCCAGGCTCAAAGCTCATCTCTTCAAGTTTCATGGAATAGGAGAAGAGAAAAATAAGGAAGTAGCATGTCAAGATTGTGAAAAATGCTTTGGGACCAAAGCTGGACTGCGTTATCATCGTAATGTTGTGCATCATGTAGGCACCAAGTATGTGTGTGAACACTGCAGCAAGATATTTTATTATCATGTGCCATTCAGAAGTCACCTATTATATGCTCATGGGGAAAAGAAAATAGTGTGTGAAACGTGTGGGGAGAAATTTTTCACTATTTCCAAATTAAATACCCATATTAATGCTGTTCACAGAAGTGCCCAGTCATGGACGTGTGATGATTGTGATTCAAAGTTTACAACTTACACAGCATATCGCCATCATGTGAATGTGAAGCATCTCAAGGTGCAGCATACGTGTGATTATTGCAGTGCACAGTTCCGAAAGAAGTCTTCACTGATGTTCCATCTATGGAAGCACTCTGTTTACATTTGCCAACTATGTAGGGAAAGTTTTTCCAGTAACATTGACTTGCGAAGTCACATGTCTGTTACTCATGGTAAGGAATTTAACTGGAAGGGCAAGAGGAAGCAAAATATTCAAATACCAGAGAAGAAGCTTGTGGAAGAGGATGAATTGCAGAAAAATTCAGGATCAGATGAACACATTCAGCAAAATGATCATGTAACATCCATTGTAATAAATGATCTCCTTATGACTGCAGAATCTTATGATAACAGCAGCCTTCAGCCCTTCTCTTTGTCATCATGTGAAAAACTACCAGAGAAGCATTCATATACAAATGAAGATATGAAAGTAAAATCTCTAAGTATTATTGATACATCACAAGACCTCAGGGGTGTTGATTCTGTACAGTTTGACACAGTGGAGACATTGGAAGTAAAGTCCTCTCATGATCACATTGAAATGACACCTGGAGTCTCTCTCATCAATGTGCAGATTCTCGGAGACATGGAAATTTCCCAGAGTGATACTCTGGGAGACCTGAAAAGCACTATGTTGGTAGATGCTACAGACCATTTGTCCCATGATGGTCAGCTAGATAATGAGGATAATATGGCTAGCCACTTGGCTGTTGAAAACACATCTCTCAGGTGAACATCTTGAAGTTGGAGGTGGCTTGGAAACTGCAAACCATTTGGAGACTACATGTCATTTAGAAGCTGCTGAACATTTAGAATCACCTTGCCACTTGGAGGTTACAGACCACCTTAGTACTGAAAGTCATATACAAGTACCTAGCCAATTAAAATCTCCTCACCATCTTGAAACAGGAGACCACTTAAAGGTTGCTGGACATATTGACATCACAGACCACTTGAATGCGACAGGTCATATTACTGATTCTGTAAATCTTAACTCTAATCCCAGTATGGTAGCCACAAACCACCTTGAAAGCTCAGACAATTTAGAGCCAACAGAGCATCTCCACATGCCAACTAATATTAATGATTCTTCACAATTAGATTCAAGTCATTTAGAACATGCTGATCAATGCTCACTCCCATCAATGATCAGTCAGATAGAGGGGGAAGTGGATGAACATATGGTAGACCCAGTTAATGGTCCTCTGGTAACAGAAATGGTTCCGGTAATCCATAATATGGCAAGTGAAGTTAATAATGATATAGAAGAATGTACAAATGCACACTCAAGTCAGAACATTGACCAGCATATACCAAAGGAAACAGATACAGAGATGATGAACCAAAATTTAGACAAAGAGATTGAGAAAATTGATGAAGTAGAACTAGAACCATTTTCTGTTACTTTGGATGGGAAAGAAGTTCAGTATCAGTATGTGATGTACATATCTGCTTCTGGGGAAGACAACTGTAGATGAAGTAAATATATGCAGCTGCACTCTTGTGTCTGCACTTAACTCTTTGTGGATTTAGCAACTAAACTACAGTAAATGTATTTTGTGTTATTTCTATACCTTGTCTTATGTCATTTTCATTCTTGAAATGGTTAGAAATCAATAAAATGTGTGGATGCAAATATGAAAAAATACCACAATAAAAATATTAATAGAACAGAAACAGTTCAGCACTAGTGTGTTTACACACTGGAGGTACTAGAGACAAAAATCAAGGTTAGCACATTTTATAGGCTGCAAAATAGTTTCTTAGTGAGGTGCTAAGGTACATGTCAGAGAGGTTGAATAAGCAACTGCATACTCATTCTTAATCCTTTTACTGTCTCTGATGTAGATCTATGTCATTGACACCAGTGTTGCACACACAGATCAATGTTTTAAGCACATCATCCTCAAATATGCTCTGAGCAGTAAATTTTGGTCAAGACATGAGAATAGGTTTGTGTGGGGGGGCTGCACAATATAAAAAAAATCCTGCCCCATGCAATGTATGATGGGAAAAGTATGCTTCTGACCCTATTTTTTTTTTTTCAAGTTTTTATTTATTTGCAAAATTTACAATGTGTGACTGACATGTTATAAGGAGTCTATTTCCATGCATAGTTTACAATGTTAACTTACAATATTGATTTGCAAGTGCAATGAAAGCCAATATCATGCCGAGGCATTTTGGGCAGACTACACCTAGTACATAACAGACTATACTTAACCCTTTTAAGGTCCGTGCTGTAGATCTACGGCTTTACGTCGAGGGTCCAAACTGTAGTTCTACGCCGTGAGCTCAGCTCACACTGATAAGCTGTGAGCGGTGAATTTGGGCCTAGATATGAGAAAATACATCTATGTGGTATGTGTGCACCACATAAAACAAATCCTGCAGCACACAGTGCATAATGAGAGAAAAAACTGAGACCGTAATTTTCGATTAAAACAGCAACTTTGCAGTGTTTTTTGTATGTTTTTTTATAGTTGTATTTGTGATTTCTTGGTCTCATTTGATAGAATGGAAGATATATTACAGAAATAGAGATGATTTTGATTGGTTTTAGTACTAAAAATGGCTTGAAACTGAGCTCAAAGTAGCAGAAATGTTAAATTTTTGCCGATGTTCAAGAGTAAACAAATGACCTCACATGTCTAATATACGCCAGCTGGTGGGTCTAATATACGTTCACAAATGTGCTGATATTATTTATACAATTATTACAATATTGCATAACAGTAAATCAAGAAAGAAGACAGAAGAAAGAAGAAGATGAACGACACCCCCAACCGGGGGCCACAGCCTGGTCACCATATGGAGAAGACCCGGGCCGGAAGTACCGGCGAACCTCTAATGAATGAATGAAGTAAATCTTCTATTTTTTTGGTTTGAATAAAAATTCATTATGTTAATAAAAAATCAAAATGGGATTCATTTGTAAAGCCTGAAAACATAACTAATGAACAGAGGAAATTTTAGTTTAGTGCCAGGAATGCCTGCATTGTTTATTCTGGACCCTATTTTGAAATTGGAATATTTTGAACTTTGCACTAAATTGGCCAAATTACGAATTTCCAATCATTTTTTTTTGTAGTTGAAGCAGTTGAGTTGGCGATTTCTTGTGGTCAGTTGATAGAATAGAAGTAATACTAGTGAAATAGCTAAGAATTTGGTCAACTGGAATAAGGTAATTGGCTTAAAATGGGAGTCAAAGTTGGCAAAATCGCCAATGCGTAAATATCACTGACACATCAAAATTCGCGAGAGCATAATTTTGTCAATTTTCCATCAAATTTCGTACTTTTTGTTTTATTACCTTCAGAAAAAGATTCTCTGCCATTTCATAAGAACAAATAACAAAATTATTTTTCGAAAATTCTTGGACACTGTTGCACACTTTGAAATTTGGCATCTGGACCCTGAAAGGGTTAATACTAGATATATATCATAGTTGGTTCAAACTGAACATTGATTTTTTATATATCAGCAGAGGTAGTTAGAGTATTATATTTTAGCACATGGACAAGCTAATATTAACTTAAGATTAGTAAGGCAATAACAGATAATTGTGTGGACCTTTGATGAATTATGATGAGTAAGTACTGTAATTAAAGGTTTAAAGTTAGTTTACAAAAATTTCATTATTACAAACAATGGTACAATTTGAATTATTTTACAGTGTGGAAATATTACTATGGAACAATTTAAAAAACAACTTACAATATGAAATTACTACATTATTATTATTATAATCAAGGGGGAAGCGCTAAACCCGGAGGATTATACAGCTCCTGGGGGGGGATGTGGAAGGCATTCAGGCTTAATTCGGGGAACTGGAGCACTGATCCAATTCCCTAAATCAAGAGCCCCTCACCAACATCAAGGAACCTTCCTTGAGGGGTGAAATTACTACAATTTGGCACAATTTTGAACAATTTAAAACAATTTACAATATGAGATTATTAAAATTTAGTATTATTTAATACATTGGAATTCAAGCATCTAATTTTGAAGTAATGAGTTTATGGTTGAGGAATCATTTGCACAATACAGTGGTACCTCGAGTTACGAACTTCATTCGTTCCAGAAGGCTGTTCAAGTGCCGTTACCGAACGAATTTGTTCCCATAAGGAATAATGTAAATTGGATTAGTCCATTTCAGACCCCCAAAAATACACTTACTTAATTGTTTGAGTTGGGAGCTGTTCAAAACTCGAGGTACCACTGTATACAGTAATGAAGTTGAATTAAGTTTAAGTTGAGCATTCTTAAGTTATTTATTAGTTTTTTGTATAGCTTTTGAGTAACTGGTAGGTATTGAGTATGGTTTGACTGTTTAATTTTGGGTGATGAGGTAATTTCTAAGTAGAGCCTTAAACTGATTTGCAGGTAAGGGTCCTTTAGTTTGTTCTGGTAATGAATTCCAGATCTTAACCCTTTGACTGTCACAAGCCCCTTTCTGAAACTCATTCTGTCGAAAAAATTTTGGAAAAAAAAAATTATTTTTTCTTATGAAATGAGAGAGAATCTTTTCCCGATGGTAATGACACCAAAAGTACGAAATTTGGTCAAAAACTCACGGAATTACGCTCCCATGAAGTTAGCGGTCTCGGCGACATATACGCATCGGCGATTTCGCCGACTTTGAGCCCTGTTTTTGGCCAATTCCATTGTTCCAGTTGACCAAACTCATAGCTATTTCTTTAGAACTCCATTTTTTCTATCAATTGAGTATAAGAAACCGCCCATTTACCGATTTGAACTACCCAATAAAATGGTCAGAAATTGGCAATTTGGCCAATTTCACACAAATTAAAAAAGATGCCAATTTCAAAATAGGGTCCAGAATAAACAATGTAGACATTTTTGGCACTAAAATAACATATCCTCTGCTCATTAGTCATGTCTCTAGGCCTCTCTTATATTACTATTGCTTTCTATTTTGATTTTTTATTCATACAAAAAATACAAAATTTACTGTTATTATTGTAAAAATGGTATAAATAATATCAGTGCACTAGTGAAAGAATATTAGACTCCCCAGTTGACATGTATTGGACATGTGGTGTGATTTGCTTAATTGGTAAAAATCGAACATTTCTGCTACTTTGAGCTCAATTTCAAGGTCATTTTCATCGTGAAACTAATCAAAATCATCTCTATTTCTGTAATATGTTTTCCATTTTATCACGCGAGACCATGAAAACGAGAATACTATATGAAAATACACCTCAAAGTCGGTGTTTTAATCCAAAAAACGGTCAGTTTTTTTTTTTTCATTATGCACTGCTTGCTGCAGGATTTTTTTTATGTGATGCACACTGACCACACAGACCCATTCTCTCACATGTGGGCCTACCAGCTTCCTCCTGCTTGATTTGAAGCCGCTAGAATTATTGAGTATATATACAGTGGTCCCTCATTTATCGTCATTAATCCTTTCCTGGAAGTGCGACGATTATCGAAATAGACGATTTTCAAATCAATTTTCCCCATAAGAAATAATGTAAATACAATTAATCCATTCCTGACACCCAGAAGTATTAAAACAAAATTTTTTTTACATGAAATATAGATGTACACCTACCATCCGACTTACGACCGAGTTCGGTTCCGAGAAACCGGTCGTAAGTCGAAATGGTCGTAAGTCGAGCTTTACTACTGAATATCAACAAAACATTTTTGTAATGACCTTATTTTATTGTTTTATCTTGGTATTTCATGTTTTACTTTACTTTTTATGTTATTAGTACTGTATTTTATACTGTAAGGTTTAGGATAAACACTGTGTACAACACAAATAGTTGTTTATGTCCCAGAAATTTGGCATAAAAAACACGGTCGTAAGTCGAGTGGCCGTAAGTCGAGCAGGTCGTAAGTCGGATGGTAGGTGTAGTACATAAACAGTACAATGGGATATGATGAATGAAACATTAACAGCATAACACTTACCTTTATTGGTGATTCTTCTTAGTGAATGGAAGACTGGAGGAGGAGAGAGATTGAATTAGTTACTGTTTGGAAGGGGAATCCCCTTCCATCAACACCTCAGGTACCAAGTGCTTTTCTGGGGTTACTTTTCTTCTCTGTTTCTTAATGCCACTAGGACCAGCTTGAGAGTCACTGGAGTCCTGTCTCACAAAAAAAAGTGTCCAGAGAGCTCTGTTTCTGGCATCTCTAAAACTTCCCTAAAATGGACCAAGACTCTGTCACTGTACAGGTTGCCGATATGGCTTGCAACATCCTTCTCAGGGTGATGTTTCTCGATAAATCTTTCCATCCTACCCCACATTTCACCATGCCTTATCACACTGTGTATGCCACTACGCTTCTTAAATCTCTCAAACCAACCTTTGCTGGTCTTAAATTCACAATTATCAGTACTCATTGCAGGCAATTTCTTTATCAGATCATTATGCAACTGCCTAGCCTTTTCACAAATAATCGACGTCATAAGACTATCTCCTGCTAATTGTTTCTCGTTTATCCACACCAATAATAACTTCTCAACATCTTCGAGTACTGGTGATCTCATTTTTGTCAGCATATTTACCCCCTTTGCAACAACAGCTCCCTTGATTTCCTTTTTCTTGGCCACGGAAGATATGGTTGTACGGGATTTGTTATACATCCTGGCCAGTTCGGCCACACGTACGCCACTTTCATATTGTTCAATGATGTTTTTCTTAAATTCAATTGTATTTCTCACCTTCTTTACCAAAGGCTTGGCACTAGTAGCTTTCTTTGAAGCCTTGGTAGCTTATTTAGCACTTGCAAGCACTAAAATAAATGGAATACAGTGGTCCCTCGCTTTTCGTAGTTCTCGGCAATCGTAAATTTCGCCAATCATAGGGGTATTTTCGTATAAACATGGACTCGCTTTTCATAGGTTGACTCGCGAATAGTAGTTCGTCCGGGACGCGTACGCACGGTGTGAGCCGGGGAGGCCTCCCTACCCAGCCAGTCTGGCATTGTTTACCAGTGAGTGAAGGTCCCCTCAAGTGCTCCTACGAAATATTTCAAAATATTCCACTCATTTTAGTGCTTGAAAGTACTAAAAAAGCTACCATGGCTCCAAAGAAAGCTCCTAGTGCCAAGCCTGTGGTAAAGAAGGCGAGAAAATGTACAGTGACAAAGTTTGGGCCATTTTAGGGAAGTGTTAAAGAGACCCCAGAAACAGAGCTCTCTCCACAGTTACTTTGCGAGACAGGACTAGAGTGACTCTCAAGGTGGTCCTAGTGGCATTAAGAAACAGAGAAGAGAAGCAACCCCAGAGAAGCAATTGGTACCTGAGGTGTTGCTGGAAGGGGATTCCCCTTCCAAACTGTAAACAATCCACTCTCTCCCCTCCTCCAGTCTCCCATACACTAAGAAGAATCTCCAATAAAGGTAAGTGTTATGCTGTTAATGTTTCATTCATCATTTCCCATTGTATTGTTTATGTACTACATGTATATTTCATGTAAACATTTTTTTTGTTTTAACCCTTTCAGGGTCCAAGGCCAAAATCTGAAGTGGTGCTCCAGTGTCCAAGAAATTTTGAAAAAAAAAAAAAATATTTTTTCTTACAGAATTAAAGAGCATATTTTTGTGAAGGTAATAAGACAAAAAAAAAAATCTGATCAGTACTTACCAAGATACAGTGCCAAGAAGTTTGTCAAAAATGATGTGGTGGTGGCAACATCGACGAATTCCACATACGCGCATTACATTATTTTGTGGTTTTAGTTTTTTTTTCTTTTCTTTTCCAATTTTTTTCTATTCCTACTAACATTTGGGGCCTGAGAGACCAATACTGTATATAATGTATATATATAAACTCACTGTATTAAAACACATTAACCAAAACTAAAGTTATCATATTATTGTTTACCACTGTTTTTTTATTACAATAAAATGCACAAATATTGTATAATACTAATGTTCTATCATATATTTACATATTTACAATCACTGGACATGGTTTAAAATGCTGGAGCTTGTGGAACTCCTTGAAACAAGGCACCATGCACAGAGGCACCTTACATTCC